CTCACACGCCACAGCACTGCACAGCCTGACCCATTTGCTAACATCACATCGGGCTAAGGTACCCAGGAGTCTTCTGAATGCCACCGCAGCCAGCCGGGCTGACAGGACGCGGCTAAGTCAAAAGACGCAGACAGATGCGTGCAACCTGGTGCCTTTAATAGTGAAAGTTGCCCAATTTGGGGGGGAGGGGACTTGCATGCCCTGCTCTCCTCACCCCCAGACGCACGGGACTTGGTCAGTTGTATGGGGGGAGCGTGAATGGCGAATGTTTGATAACCGCAGCATGCAGCGGGGTTCGGAGCTCAGAGCCCAGCGGCTGCAGGATGAGACCGTATAGACTGGCGCCCGTGGGCACTGGAGCGGGAAGGTTGCATCCTGGGGGCTGTCAGAGCGAGCCACAGCTCCTGCAGCGGGGAGTCCTGCTCCCTCCTCCGGCTGCGTTCAAGATGCGTACAACCCCGCTCTCCTCCTGCTAGGCTTCCCCTCCTCTCCCCTCTCCCTGCCCAGCTCCTTCTTCCCTCTGCGGGGTTTGCTGGGCCTGTGCCCAAGTCACTTGTGCAGGCTTATAGAGCTGTTCCCCAGCCCGCCTCCCCCCCACACCGCCTGCAGCAGCAGAAGGTCCTGCCAAGGTGATGAAAGAGCCTATTATACATTTTTTTTTGTCCCAGGGAAGATAGAAACAAATCCCCCGTTTATATTCTGCCTCATGGCAAGGCCACAGGTTGAGACGTCTATCGGCTTGCTACGCATGACACCCTGCCCTGCTCCTGTCGGCCAGACTGCCAGCCCACGGCCACGCAACAAAGTCCATCCGAAAGCCTTATCGTTTCCAACACGACCTAACTGCCCTAATCCCAGCTCCTTCCGCTCAGACGGCGACTGGTCTGAATTTTAACAGTGTTTCGGGCCAGGGGCGCCTGGGAGGATGCTGATCTGCTGGACAGCCCGGTGGAAGAGGAGCACTTTTCCAGGTCTGTGCATGACCGAAATCTTTTGTTGGCTGCTGAATAAGTGGAAATACGAAGGAATGGAGAGGGCCCATTAATGACCCGAGCAACCACGGGGAGCTTGCCAAGGGCCGTGTGAAGTTCCCCGAGACCAACCACATCAAGACACTGAACTGGAGGCTCGCTACCAAACCCGGGCACCCTCTGCCCATTCCTGCCCCTTGCCTGGGCCCTGCAGCGAACAGGGAGGACAAGGAAAGGCGTACTGCTAACCCCCAGGGGTGTTGTCAGGAATTCCAGTGGCTGCATTATGTGATCGAGGCTGCCCAGGACAAAGCTTCGATATCAGTAACGGTTGGTGAGTCTATCTCAGTGCAACCATTCCCAAGAGAGCGCTGGTCCAAAGATGCACGCAGGCTTGCAAATCCCAGTTGGGATCGTTTCCTGTTAAGTGAGGAGTGCAAGCGGAGGAAGGGCAAGCCGCTAGCTGCACGTTTAATGTTTTCCCTCACTTTGAATCCACCTTGGATCACGCACAATACTGAACAGCGCCCAAGATATTCCCCTAGCCCGTTCAGCCAGGCAGCCAGCTCCAGAGCCAGTTCTTTTGACTCTGCCATCGGAGTCTCTTCCAGTGTCAGGTCCAACTCCTTGGCTTCCCATGCAAAAAATAAAATAAATCAGGCTGCTCTTACTCAGAAGCCTGTCATACAGACAGCAGGCTCCACGGTCAGTGCTGGTGAACACCTAATTGAAAGTCTTGCAGAAGAGGCAGGTACCCTGGGAGTTACAGCTGCCTTTCTTCACCTTCCAGCTTTAGACATTATATATCCCGCTCTGGCCAACCGTCTGCTCCACCCCATCTTGGTCCTTACTCCAACCTCTGGTCCATACTCCCTGCTCCAGTCGCACAGGCAGGTAAGCCAGACCTCTGCCATGTGCTATTTGACGGAGCTGAACTGAGCAGAAAGCAGTGGAGTCGGCCACAAAGGTGTGTCCACAAACTGCCCAGTAGCTGCCATGCACAGGAGTCCAGTAGGAAGGCAACATGGAAAGAGGCTGGTGTGCGCAGCCCCAGGGAATTGTGCACTGCTTGAGAAGACTATCGATACAGGACCTCATCTCTCCAGCCGTTAGCTGAGCAATCACTTCAACCTACTCTCAGCCACACAAGCGGACCCAGGCCCAAAGCACAAATTATTTGGCACATGGGATCTGCAGAACAAAAGGAAGTGGCAAATCAAGCTAAAATGCTCCAGGTCTTCCCTGGCAGGCAGCCAGGTCATCTTCACCTGATCATAACCATCTCTCTAGTAAAACCCAATCTACTTTACCTCGCCATTACTGGACCTGTACTTGCCTGGGAGGGCTCGGCAACCAGAGCCCAAAGCTCATATGCTGAGATGCTCCAGGCTATTCCCCAGTCAAACTGGAGAGAGGAACAGCAGGAAGTGCATTGGACGACTATCAGTATTTGAATGCCTGAGCCAGAGTTGTCACTGCCAAAGGAGAGGTTTCAGCCCAGGTTAAACGGCAGCCTGAATTTTACCCCAGACCCTCAGGAAGGTCAGTTATCTGAGGCTGAAAGCACCCCAAGCCTGGATCTAGAGGCTTTTCCACTTGGCTGGGAAGGGACTGAGACAAGCAGCGTGTAAGAGCCTAGGCTGACTGTGCAATGCAGACCTAACCTCGCCATCCCTCCCACTTATGCACGGGGCCTGGAAGGCAGGCCACGCTAGTTTGCTTGAATCTGGTCTCCGGGAGGCAGGAACATTTTCCAGCAACCTACTTCTTTTTACAGCCATGCATGTCTACAGCACATCCTGGATACTGGCATTGCAGTGGAGATCTGCAGCTTGATAACTGCTTGCAATACCGGCTCTGAAGAGCAGCCAATAAACTCCCTACACGTGCAAAATCCAAGAGGAAAACAAGGCAGGTGCATATGGTCCAGACATTTAAACTCATTTTCCTCCAACTACTAGACACAATCCTTTTGCACTGCTACTCTCCATCTCAGGCTAGATGCTCACCTAGTTTATGGCAGGACAACTACACCGAAGTCGCTGATGTTATCCTCATCTACAGCAGCTGAGAATCTGGCCTCTGGTGCTTTAGAAAGCTACAGTTTTAGTCCACTTGATCCTAGTCCAAGCCGACTGAAGTTGGTTAAACTACTACCATGGACTTCAATACACTCTCAATCACGGCCTTAGCAATTATCTTGGCTACTCTCACCTGGGTTTGCACTTAGTGTTGGAGTCCAGTAGCACAGGCGTGCTTACATGTGTCTCAACCTCAGCACGTATGGGAATCTTTGCCGGGGCATTTATTTACAGACCATCAGGCATGGGTCAATAGTCACCATGCTTTCTTATTAAGGAAATGTATAAAGACCACAGCTGCTTTTAAAAAAAAGGTAAGCACTAATTAACCCAAAACCATAATTTAAGAATATTAGTTTAAAAAAATGAAATGGCAGGAAAAAATATAACGTTTTCCCCAGGCATGATAAGCGCTTGCAAAGATTTCACTTGTTTGAAAACTTTCTTTTCTCAAGGAGCTTTGGCAACGATGCCAGAATGAAACCCTCTCAGGTTGCTCTAGGAAAAAAGAAAAAAAAGAGTAACGTGCTTATTGCCAAAGGTTTCATACATAGCAACCATTAAAGACAGCACGTTATGGCAACTGGCTCAACACCCAGAGCACGCAGCACCATTTCTATATTGGAAGGATCTTCTTTATCCTGCTTTTCAATCCTCCCCTCTCAGGCAGATGTTAGTGCTTAGTCCTTTTGATGTATTACTCAATGATAAACACACTTATGTCAGATGAGTCACCACACGCACACAGTGCTGCGATTTCAAGGATAACACGTTAGAAATGCAGTGCATTTACAGTCACGCCCAATTATAAGCTGCGAATAAAGAAAATACGCTCTGCGGGGCAAACCCTATTCAAATATACGGTTCGCTCTGAAACCTCGCAGAAGTTGCAGCTATTAAGCACTAAATATTCACAATGGCACTTAGTAGGTCATAAACCACACTGCATTTAACTATAGCTGGGGAGAGAAAGGGCCAAAGCAGTGTCAAGGCTGAGAGGCACATCCTGGAGGTGTGGCAGAATTTTTTCCCCGCTCTTGAGCTTAGCGGAAACAGGCTTTTATATTTTGCAGTACTTATGCGCATTATTCAACAAATGTGCATAGGGCTGGAAACCGAAAAAGAAAATAGGATGGATACAGAGAGAATGCCCTTTGCACGGCGTAGGGTGCAGGGAATATACTTATCCTTTAATGCAAACACCAACATTTGAAAAGTTTTGCAAAGACACTTGTACTTGGTGTAGGGTCCCAGAGCTGTAAATGCATATCGGCTTAATACATCCCCGAAGCGGCAGAGCCTGGGTCTGCATGCTCCATCGCTGAGCGAGATAACATAAATCAGTGCTGTGCCCTCCAAGACATCCCTGGTCTAAAGGCTCTTTCCCAAGAGCATTTGAAGGTTTCCCCTCAACACCCCCGGCAGGAACAGAAGGCAGAATGGTGCCATTCATGAAGAAATGCACCCAAGCGGCTGCGTATAAAAGGCTTGGTAATGTTATGTAGTGTAGCATGCAGAAGGAAAGAACGAGATAGTGGATCTACCACTGCCTAGGAACATCATCTGTAATATCTCCGCCAGTGGGCTTTCATCACCAGAGGGATGGCATCTTGCCCCAAACCAACCCAATGAGGCCAACAAATGCAGAAGAGAGAGGGCATGCAGACCTAATGTGGAATCGACTCCTTCCCTTCCCAACGCGCAGAGGTCTTGCAACGGGAACAGCCCCAAAAAATCAAGGACCTGGCTTGAAGGCCTTGTTACCCCTCTGCAGCACCTCTGCCCAGCAGAACCGAGGGACTTGCAATGGCAAGACTGGCAGGATACAATGCCTTACTGCCGGCTTACAGCCTTCTACCCCCTCCCGGGCAAAGCGGGGAGGGCTGCAGAAGTCATTACCCGGGGAGCCTGGCTCCCAAGGGAGTCGTGTTGCCAACCCTGGCCATACCTTGGGATCCATCTGGAGGAAGGTGTGTGGGCCTCTGCTGCTGACCGTCGACCGCTTGAACGTCTTGCTGTGGTGAAAGTGGTAATAATTCTCCAAGCTCCCAATCTGCAAAACAAGCAGCATGCACAAGTCAGGACAGGGCAAGCTGGCCACGCACAAGAAGCTGTCAGGGCAGCTTCATTTTTCACCCGCTCCACCCAAAGGATGCTAAGAGCCGGCACGTGCCCCAGCCGAGAGCTAGTTCTGATCCGCAAAGCTACTGAACTTGCTCCGACACCCGCCGGAGGAAGGAAGAGCCATGCTGCTGGTCTGCAACTGGGTAACAGGATCAGGCTTCGTGGCCAGCTTCACTACCCACCCTGCCGTGGGGACAGCAACAGCAGCTTGCATGTGGTGAGACCAGCCCACCACACACACAACCCTGAAGAACTACTGGCCTCTGCAGTGATGCCCGCTTTCCACCACATCCTGCACCTCCTGGCAATTTATCCCAGACCAGCACTGGTAGCCCAGGGAAACAAAAGCACTTTAAAAAGTCTGAGGTCTAACTTTGGACATAAGGCGATGCACAGGTTTCCCAAGGATCCTATACATGGGGGTGGAGGTCATCAGGATTTTCAGAGGTTCACGCATCAATTCGTTGGAACGGGATTTTCACTCAATTTTCCACGCAGGTTTGAGCGTGGGCCCACTCAGCGCCAAACAGCAATGCTGAGGCCGCTGCCTGTTCCTGCCAGAGGCACGTTTAGGAAGTCGAAGCGTTTTGTTCTACTGGGACAGCACGCTGTCCTGACACTCCTTATATTCAAAGCCAAACCATTTTGCTCCCCTTCAGCTACAGGCAGAACCCAAGCCTGAAAGACAAAAAAGTCCGAGTCCCAAAAGGTGAAAACAATGCAGGGCTTAAAAGAGTGACGCAGAAGGGGTGCGCGCGCAACTCCTCCTGCTACAATTACCGGCCTTCTCTCCCGCACCAAGACAGCAGCATCTTGTGCAATAAAAATTATTCTATCCTGCAAGTGACAGCAACCCCAACGAGCAAAAATAACACACTCAGAACAAGCGTCAAGTCCTTGCTTCATGTGCTCAGACAACTGCTTCACCGTGGACTGAAGGATTTGGCTTAAACAGAAGATTGCCTTTGCTCTCCCCTCCAGGAATGGATTGAGCCCCAAAGAGGACGAGAAACATCCAGGACAAAAAGGTCATGTTCATGTGACATGGGACATACACCATCCAGGGCCTTAAGGAAACCCAATTTCTGGAAGATAGGCACCAAGAATTTTTCGGAGAAAAAAAGAAGAGTCCTTCAAGGTATCTCCTTCATATGCCTAGGACTCCAGACCCTAAAAACACTCCTCTGTAAGAAAGTCTCTTCCTAATGTTTTCAAAAACTAAAGGAATAACCCAGAGGTACCAAGACTTCAAAACCCCCTTCATTGCAAGCCCTGGGATAATTGGTATCTAAGCAATTTACTGCAGGGTTTTACAATGCGACGGCCGCTCCACGGTGACTACACACATGCACGCTCTCTCCCCGTGAAAGCTAAATAAATCATGGCACTGCCACCATTTACCTTCCTCTTCCCTCGGGGTGGGCACACACACACGGGCAGCTACGGTGGAGCAGTTGGTGCACGGTAAGTCCCGCTCCCTTTTTAGCCCATGGAGAATTGTTCGCACGCCTCACCCAGACAGGCACAGGTTTTCCTGGTGGCGTAATCTTTGGAACAAGCCCCAAACCTTTCAGCCTCTGGAGGAGAACGTTTTCCAGTGCCGGCAGACCTGAATCGGATAAATCCCCGAGAACTGGAGCAAGCCTGTGTGCATGCAAGCCATTCAACTGCGTGACAATTGCTCCTGGAAGTTTTTTAATTACCTCCCGCCCCCCCCCGGGGTTAAAATTAATGATGGGCAGGTGCACTGGCAGCACCGCTGGCAAAAGCTGGCACAGGAAAGACCAGCACTGGCACGGTGGCAAGTTAGTTCAACACCCAACTTCTATTCTGGATCCTCCCCACATCTGCCAGAGCAATTAAGCACATGTTAACAGTCGGCAGTACTGAGTAGCCCCGTTAAGTCAATGCATGATTAAATGCTTTACCACTACGTAGCTGACTGGAGGTGCAATTTCAGGCAAGCCACCCCAGCTGTCAGGTCTACACTAGCAATTTGGACTAGTTTAGTGACAGTGGTTAGGGACACGGTTTTTATCAGAGCAAAACTCCGACATTGTTCTTAGCTTTAACACAGCTTAAGCAACAACAACAAAAATGCTTTTCATCCGTATTGTTAACTTTGGTTGGGGAAGCAAATAAAGCTACACCAATAAAGCTGGAGTTTTGTGTTTGGAAGATAAACTGTACCTACCCAAGCAGTGCTTCCCAGTACAGCTGCATCAGCAGACTGGTTCCAGTAAAGTTACCCCATCTGTGAACCGTGCAGAATACGAACAGCAGCACCCTGCTCCCCATGCACGCTCCAGGATCTGTTCACGCCAGTAGACTGTTTTGCAGGAGAAGGGCTACACAAAGCAAAATGAACAGAGGGCCAAGAGCGTCTTGAGCGCTAAGAGACTGTCCCCAGTTCGAAGACCTCCCCCCAGGGGAGGCTGAAATGAGACCCAGGCGCACCCTGGAAAATGCAACAAAAATGTCCCCAGCGCTACCGCACCTTCACCGACTTGAACCAAGAAAAGCCATTAAATAACCAATGGTACTTCCAGTCGCTCCGCACAGGGATTGGGTCGTGCAGATGTGCACGGGTCGTTTCCCAGCTGGCGCCCACCCCATGAACAAGGAGCGACTTCAAGTGACGTCAATGGAGCTACACCAGGTTAAAAACTGGAGCGAGTGAAACTGGAGTGGAGCCCGATATATCTTTATGAAACCGCAACTGGCAATTAGCTTCCTCTTAAAAGAGCCTTCTGCTGGCAGCAAAGTAGGAATTAGGAGGCAGAAATTAGTTCAGCAGCTGTGGAGGGCTCGTGTCAGCCGAGTTTTGCCTCATCAAGGTCGTCAGCTGGATGTTTCGTCTGTGAGGAGCTGGTCCAGCAGCCGCATGACAACTGGCTTGCATTGTGTCCTGGCAGCTGGAAAGTTTGCTAAAAAAGTCCCTATAATGAGAGGTAAACTTAAATTCTTGCTAAACCTGGAGACTCCAGTCTGGGAAGCAGAGGATATAAATAAGCAGAGAAACCAGGTCTATGTTTAGCCTGCAGCCAGGAAAAGAAGAAGGGAGTTAAAGAAAGAGTCCTAAAAGAGCTTATAAAATATGTGCAGCAAGTTCGCAAGATAATAAATACAGCAGGGGAATTAAATGAAGTACAGAGACAGAGCCCCAAGGGTCTGTTAGACTATCATGTGCTGCCCAGACAACATCGGGCCTGAGCTGGTCGTGGTCAGGGTGACCACCTCCAAATCTGGCCCACAGAGCAGGACTCGCCAGATCAGGGGCAAGAGCACAGGCTAGGACAGCTGAACACCAAGTCGCCCAATGCCACATCCACACTGCAGGGCCTACTGATGCTTTAACGATGGTGGTTGCTGGGTCCCGTGGGATAGATTTGGCCCTGCTGCGCTGAACTGTTTCGGTCCCCGCACTTAGACCACCTCTGTCCAACAGCAGCCTCTTCTGCAGAGCTAGCAGACATGGCTGTAGTGGAGACAGGGGCTTGGATGCTCCTGCCCCTGCTTGGAGTCTGTCTTCTTGCTCCCACCCCACACATCCAGACTCCACCTTTCCGATCAGTTTAAGAAGCCCGTTTGCACGGATCAGGGGTTGTCAACTGGGGGTACATGTACCCCAAGGGGTACTCGGAAAGGTCCTAGGGGATACGTGCGTGCGGGCGAGGATGGAGCGCCGCCACCCACTACCCCATGCCACCACCTCCCAGGAGCAGGGCCGGGAGAGGTGGGGACGGAGCTCGCACGCAGCAGCTGCTGCCGCCATCCACCCCCTCG